TTGAGCTAAAAAGAGATTGTCGCACTGAGCGACAGTGAGGCACTCCATTCGTCCAAACTCTGGGTGTCATGCGGGCTTGGGCGATGATGTTACTGTGTTCATGGGCTCCTTCTACACTTACCAATAACCTCATTTGGGCCTTTGTCCTGGCCTCCAATTGATCTTCACTCTTTGGGCTATTTAATTTGGGATGTATTTTTAGTGTGTCAACAATATCCATATAGCTTATCGAAATATTTAGCATCCATTATTGTCAAGTGCTATCCAATCGACTCTATCAAATTTAGAGCTAGAACCTACATCGCCTTGTCTGGGAATTTTTTCTTGGCTCTGCATAACACCAAGAAAAGTGCAACTCCTTTTTTCCTTAGCTTAACCAAATAATGAGATTAGAGGGCTGATTGAAACCACATCAAACAATACAAAAAATAGTCTATATCCTAAAACTTTTAGGGTCTTGCTACTAGTACATTATGGATGCCTTTATTACATCCATAATGTACAACAAGACAAATCCAAACTTTTAGCCCCATATAACCAGACAGGACAGGCATATATCTTCCTGAATAAATAATGTCAATAAAAGTGGTAACCACAGGCTGACATTTCATTTCATCCTGTTAAGAATATATACTTGTCAAACTATAAAAAAGCTACTTCCAGCACAACGCAAGCCCATTTCTTCAAAATTGGCAACTATTTATATGAAACCAACTCCAGTTCTCAATTCTCCATTTCAATGTAAAAACACAAGCTTACTAAACTGTCCATTGCCCAATTTACATTTATATATATCTGCTACTTCTTTAGATTCAAGATTCAAGAAATTCCTTATAAGCTTTTTCAGATTTCTAACTAGTGAAAGTTCTTCGTATTGATTTTAAGTTTCAAGATTCTAGCCATTTATGATATCGAAGGGGAGGAATTTAAGTAAATTGTTTGCATATTTTAAGGTGAACTCAAGCTTCAAAATCAATAGCCTATGGATATTTTTTTTGTAATTTTAACTATTCAAATGCTTCTGCTGTAATTTTTGTGTTTCACTTGCTGTAAAGTGTTTGAGTTTATAGTTGCATTTTCACTGCGGAACTAAATGGGAAATACTCGGCTTCTTCCCTTCTACATAACCATATGTGTTTTAGTTTTTGTTATTTCGAAGATTATTATGGCAATCCTACGTTATCAACGATGGCAAAGAAAGCAAATGGTTGTTCAAAACAGTTTTACAGGTACAGTTTTGAATGTTACGGGTGGTCTAATTTAAGCATTTTGTTGTGTCTCATTTACTGTTATGTCTGACAATGTGTTGTAATCTTCTGATGTTTCAATAATACAGATGGGAAACTAGTGATTTATGTTGGGAAAATTTAAATCAAACTGTATAAATTATTTATGTTGGGAAAATTTACGTACCTTTGACGTTCGTGAAATCGAACAGAGTTTTGACTTACCGAATACACAAAGTAACAACAAGAAAAGCATGAAAATGAATTGGACGAGAAAATAGTTGAACTTTTTGTCCTTACGATGATAAAGCCCCGTACGGGTGCTAACGGTTTTTCGACATTCGTCTCCAAAAATACAACGACCACATCTCGTAATAAGAGCACTCCAAATTACGTAGACTAACGAATCTACTTATGTTTTGAACCCTCTTTATATGAAACTTGACTCCAAATAAATGCTCAAAATATTTGAAAGTGAATATGCATTAACATGATAATGCAATGATGAAAAAAAAAAGAATGTATATTCTTAAACACATGGGATCTATATATAGTAGTTGTAAAATTTTGTCTCAAAAGTCACAATCATACAAAAGGACACAACTCTTGAAATTTATCTTTATACATGAAGATACACACCAATTGGAAAATAATCATATCAAAAGTCATGATATTTCGTATGGAAAAACACATTTCCATCCATATTTGGTATGTTGGACAGTTTTGTCGAGTTCATTGTATGAAATATGCCATCGATTTTTATCTATATTCATCACCTGCTAAATTTAGAGGAACATACTAAATCTTCCATTGATAGTATTAGTCGAAATGCTTTAAAAGGTCTGCACTTACATGATTCATCAATTAATGAACTCCTGAAAGGCAAAGGAAGGTTACAAAAATTTCAGCCAAATTTTAGAGGAAATCTTTATTCATTGAAGATCAAAATATCCTATTATGCAGGAAAGTCTCTAAACAGTGTGGTTCTAGATTGGCCTTCAAGATTCAAAATAGCAGTTGGAGCCGCAAGGGGGATATCCTATCTCCACCATGATTGCATCCCTCACATAATACATAGAGATATTAAGTCAAGCAATAAATTGTTGGATCAAAACTTGGAGGCTCGAGTATCCGATTTCGGACTAGCTACTTTGATGCAACCAGATAAAACTCATGTTTCAACTTTAATTGCTGGAACTTTTGGATACTTGGCTCCTGGTATGCTAGTTGGAAGGACAAGATACTTCTACTTTTGATGTTGTTTATGAACTTCCCTAATCATCTTATGATTTCTACAGAGTATTTTGACACAGGGAAAGCTACAGCAAAAGGGGATGTCTATAGCTTTGGGGTTGTGTTACTTGAGCTTCTAAAAGGGAAGCCAGCAGGCGAAGTATTTATTGAGGAGGGAACTAAGCTTGTGACCTGGGTAACTCTTTTACTGGATGAATAATTTAAAACTTGCTCCAAGTTTGTTTTTGCATGCTAATTTAATAAAACACTTTTATCAAGTATGTCATTAATAATCTTAAGTTGGGATTGGGTTTAGGGTCTCTAGACTCATAGTCTTCTATAATTATAGTAGAGACACTTACAAATTGCAATAATTGATATCAAGAGAGACCTAAGATTATATATCAACAAATAAGATTTCAACATTTAGGGCAGAGCACAAGTCTTAACTAATTATGTCATGTATATGTACATGTCTTCTAGGATTCTCACTTGAAAGTTGTGTTCTTGTCTAAGATTATGAAGTTGATTAACTTTTCTGCGATGATTAGATATATACACTGTTATAAAGAGAGATAACAGTATACATTCGACTGACAATGTTTCTTCCGACTTTCGCATTAAATGAAATTCTACCCTGAACTCAATATTTTCTTTCCTAATTGATAGTCAGAAGCATAATTTAGTTATTAAAACGACTCCCTAACTTCTTCGTAATTTGATTCAGAAATGTTTTTTTATATGTTAAAATTAACATGATTAGGCATCACGTTATTGCAGGCGAAGACAGTTGTCCAAGAAAAACAAGAAGAGCCTGTACTTGACAGCAGTTTAGAAGATTTTCCTGTTGATGAAGTTAACGGTGTATTTAACATAGCACTAATGTGCCTTGAGCCAGAACCATACAAAAGACCTACCATGGAAGAGGTTCTCAACATCCTAGAGGCGATCAAAACAGACGAATCTGTATCAGAAATGTGAAAATACATTGAACTTCTTCACAAATACGCAAAAGATACATATTGATGAAACCAATTAACAACTATTCCTTTCTACCGTCACAGGCACATCAAAACTCAATCAACTCAACAATTACAAAATTCAACTAATGGAAACTGAACAAAAACAGCCTTAGAAACTCGAAAACAACAGAAATTTCAACCCATTGGGCCTTTAATCATACAAGAGCCACTGCCAAACCATTAGCAACTGAAGATTTCAGTGAAGGTGAAACTGAATTACCTCCAAGAAATACATCAAAGAGAGCAGATGTAACATTTGGTGATTCAATTGTAGCATCAACTGAAGAAGGCACCCCATCGGATGATACACAAACCTGTAAGTGTATGTATAGCAATTTAGCTTAGACAAGAAGGGGACAAGGGGAAAGAGAAGAAACTTCTATTCGACGATAAGGGAAGGAAAAAGAAATGTCTTTCGAATGAATAAGCACATGCGTATTATCATACAGGCAGTTTTATATCAAACTCACAAGCATTTTGGTTGGGTCCAGCCAAGTTAAAAATATTGAAGTTCCCTTCTCAAGGGAGCGCCCCTGAAAGATGCTACGGAATGTGGAAAGAGCATGCTCATCAACTGAAGTGAGTGACTTGATTCTTGGGGATACTGCTTCATCTAAGGCGTCCCAAAATGTTTTACCATCAACATCTCTTACCAGAATAATATGGAGTGATTTCTCTAGAGGTGCTGATCAACATCAGTAATTGTTAGTTATTTTCAATTTTTTGTCCCTTCTTCCAGCAACTGTTTACTTAACTATAAAAAATTAATTGTTTAACAGAACTTACCTCTTAAAAAATTATTTGTTTAACAGAATTACCTTGAAAAATTGTGTCAAACAATGATGACTCCTGCTGCACATCTGCAGCTGAGCGCCCTTTCCAGGCATCTAACTTACGAAAGATGAACTTGTTTGCATATAACCCTGCAGCATAGACTTTAACTCCAATGATCGCAAAGACTTTTTCTCGGTATCCTAATAATATTACAAGGAGCAAAGTTTATAGTCTGAATTCCTAAAACAACCAGAATTAAAGAAAATCAAGCTTAAAATACTCAAAAATATGATTGAAATATTAAGAAATCTCAATTGACAGTATAGAAACTGACCAGTTCCAAGTAATGACAATGATGAGGAGCAACCTGGAAGGCTCAGCGATTTTTGAAACTTCACCTTGGTCTCAGGTTCTTCTGTGTACTCTGCACTTCCAACTGAAGCCACTACATCAAATGCCATCAAGTAATAAACACGAATGCAGAACATGATAAGGGAGTCATGGGAAATGTCACTTGTTATTTTTAGTATTCTGCATATATTTCCGATTTTCAGAAGAAATTGCAAGAAGTAGCTCTGGCATGATGCAATAGTTCAGCTTCTATGGCTTACATTAACACCTCTGTTGTATGCTAAAAGAAAATTGGCTGATAGAAAAAATGAGATCTCCAAGGAACTCCAACAAAGAACAACCTAGGCCATCCTTAACATATAGGTTTGTCATGCCCAAGCCCCAGGCGTGAAATTAGAAAATACTAAGGCGTGTCTGATCCTCTAAGTTGATAGATGGAATTGCAAGGACATAGCAAGTATAAATGAAAAACCAATAGCCAACAACAAATTAAGCCTTTTCCAATAGATTCGGGATCGGCTATATGATTACATTTCTGCCATTTTGTTCGGTTCATTACTAGATCTACTGGAAGATCAAAAGAAATTAAATTCTTAATAACTAGCACAGATCATGTTAGTTTTGGTCTACCACCTTCTCTTTTGACATGCTTTATCGAGATGAGCACAAAATATATTCTAACCACCTATATCTTTCATTAATTTATATTCAATCGATGCCAACTCCACTTGTTAGTGTATATTCTAATTTATTGTCTTTTCTGTTTTAGCATGATGACAGTGATCACATATCCATCTTAGTATCGTTATATCTGCCGTGTTCATCTTATGACATTTTATTGTTTAAATGCTTAACACTCAGTACCATAGGTAGGTCTAATCAATATGCATAACTGGCCTGTTAATCTTATAGAGATCTTCCTATCACACAAAAAATCTGGTAGCACTCTCCATTTCATCCAACCTGCTCTAATTTTATGCATTAAATCTCTTCAATACCTTCTTGTTAATAGTCATACTTAGATTCTAAAAATGAATATCTGGTAAATGTCAGCTTACCTAGACGAAAGCATGAAATTTTTTACCAAGTGTTACCAGGAAAAGGAATTTCTAAAGATGATAATCTATAGTGGTTAGTATCATTACCATTTAATACCCCAACCAGCATTTTTTTCATCACGACAAATTAATACTTCAGCTAGCTTTTTTTCCCTTCATTTTACATTCAAGTTATGACTATGAGCACAAAACATAGTTGCAGTGCCATAAGATCAAACTCTTAACAATGAACTTAGTCATTTTTTCTTTTAAAGTTGCACAATTATTGTCGTTTTTGTCCTCATTAATAATCTATTGCATCCCCTTATCAGGCGATTGATTTAGAGGTAAATTCCTTGAAATACATGTAGCCTATTCCTTTCACTTACAAGCATTTATTTTCTTAGGTTTTTGAGCACCAGAGCTCTTCATAGCTAGTGCATATCTATATTTAGTATTTCCCCTTTTTTCTGCACTAGATGATTTTGAGCATCTTACCCACACATAACATACTACAATGATAAATATGAGTGCAATTGAAATTCCCGAGAAGATATACATTTGTGTATTGATAAGACCATTAACTATTTCTTGAAGCTCCATCTCCCCTTCAATTTTCAAGTTGGATGTGTTGTCTGGAATTTTGATTGTGTTTATCCAATTTGGTATATTATAAGCTGAATGGATGACATTGAAGCTATTTTAGCGGGGCATGGTGAGTGTTTTTCTCAGGAAGAATGTTATGGTATTTTATTGAAGATATAAATGTTTTGTTGTTTTTATAAGAGAGACGGAAATGTGGAAGTTCTACAGTGAGAAGAGTAAGCTGTTAGATTGAACTTTTATTCTTAACCGCATAGTTTGTGTTCAATGTTATTCAGTGGTGATTTATTTTTCTTCAATCGAGATCAAATTTTGCAAAAGTTCCAAGAATGAGAAGAATAAACTGCTTCTCATGTGCTTTGATCTAACATCCCTGGAAAATATGCACAAACTCCAAAAAACAAAGACTTTCAAATGTTCATAAACATCGATCCCAATCTACACTCTTTCTAGTATATCACATTGTAATGGAGAGAAAGCAGCAAGATTGGTTATGTCCACTATGGTTCATTTCACAGTTTTGCCCAAAAGTATCTTTGCCATATGGAAGCATACATCTCAATTTTCCAACATAGGCTCTATTCACGCTTTAGGCGCAGCATTGGACTAAGGAATTTTTCAATGAAGTGGATTGACGCAGATGCCTTTGCTTATACAATAAGAATTAAAAAAACCTTTACATTCACCTCCATTGCTGGTTCTAACGTACTTCAGTTTTCTAGTTATTTCCCTTTCATTGAAATACTTTACTAGCTATCTAAAGCTTTTAAACTTCTCCAACACGTGCATCATTACTGTTGAAATGACAGAACATCTTATTTCTACCTAATGTAGGCTTTACCCCATCTGATATTCAATGCAGGGAATCTGCTGTGTGTATATCGAATTACAAGATTGCAGATCCATACATAGAATACAATAGAGAAATAAGTTGTTCAGTGTGTTTTTCCTCCATATTTTGGGGTATTTTGGTTCAGAAAGGCAGCTTAATCATACTCTCCTCGGTGTCATGGTAAATATTATCAGCAGTCCGATTTGAACATGACACTCCCAAATTTATAGCACGAAAATCTATCAGTTCTTTTGCCTCATAACTTCCCATACGTGTACAAAGAATAGGCATATCTATAAAACAACACACACAAACATAAAGCATTCTATAATCTTCAACCTGTAAGAGCATGTTTGGGACAACTCTGCACTGTACAACATACAAGATTTTAATATTAATCGTTTCAAGTTGAATTATACCAAACATCCCATAAATGTAAAAACTGTCTCAACCATATGAACTACGATGGCTAGTGAAAATAAGCAGGCTCAAACGGGAAGCCCCCATATTCCCACTGCGTCCATTCACCAATTCAGTATCGCAATTCATACTCTTGAAATAGAAGGAACACAATCACAAATCGAATTAATTAAGAACAGAATTCCAGAAAACGACAAAATTCACAATCTTACATGAAATATATGTAGAATCTCCAAGAATTTCTAAACGAATTGTTTACCTGATGATGGAGAAGAAGCTTTGGGTGAAAAGGGGGTGTAAAATCTGGAATTATTACGGAGCGAGACATGTTGAGGAAATGTGGGTGACTGGGAGACAAATTCTTTACAGTTCAGTGCTGATAATGGGTTTTTTGGAGGCTTTACAAGAAAGCATAATCTAGGATTTATATTGGAGGCATTGCTTTTGGTGGGTGATGAATGGCAAATTGGAGTGCGATTGGCAACTATTGAAGTCATCCTCTGATAATGAGAAATTCAAGCAGAAGAAATCTCTAAAATCTCAATTGCATTAAAAAGTGTGCAGCTTTGTTATCACCTTGAAAAGTTTTTGTGAAAAGTTTTTGTGGGGTTTTGAGGGTCCACTTATCAACAAACATTTGGGGTGCATTATATGAATTAACATTAACTGCAGAGTGTTTCTTTGAGAAGATTGCTTCTGCCTTCTAACCTAACAGGTTGACATAGTTACTGCCATCAATTTGTCCAAAATTTATGGTCCGCGTCGAAGGTGCAGCCGACTCTTTGGGCCCAACTTGCTTCAAGCATACTCCTACATTATACGTCCGCACAAAAATGCTTTATCATTAACTCGAAAACAAACATTGAGCTTTGATACCAATTAATCTAAAAAGTCATGAGTTATGACACATGTGCAATCCACCCCATATCTAAGTAGATCTGA